AAAAATATAATTGTTAAAATATATTTATATTTGAATATATAAGATAATTATCATATAGATATGATTTAATTATTTTAAAATGTATGAGGTTAATTTATTAAAATTTAGAAGAGATTTTTTTTTTTTTAATTTAAAATAGCTTTTGCATTTTAAACTTTTTGTTTAATCAAAAACTAAAAGCTCGTGTGCAAGGATAATTTTTTTATCCCTCAAGAGCATGTTAATTTGGTCCTATGTTTATATTGCCTATACATATTTTGCACAACCTCAAATGTATAGTTTTTTTTAACAACAAAATTTATTAGAGAGTGATGGTAGTTGGACCACCAAAAAGTACAGGAAAACAGAAACAAAAGATACATAAAAAAAACAAACAAAATTGCAGAAACTAAACTAAAGCAACAATTAAGAAGATGATGTTTAACATAATAAAAGTCCAATACATCAAAGACTAAGTGACCAATATTGGTTAGCCATGAAAGGTAATTACATTCCACCTCAATATTGCGGCAAAAACATTATTCATAGAGAAAAACGAGGAACGATTCGGCATCAAACATTAGGTCTTTACTATACGATACGTGACACAAATATTCCATGATTTCATCCATGTGTATAATCGACCAACAATTTACATTGTTTGTAAATATAAATTCCACCAAGTTGTGACAACAACCCCAATACAAAGGGATTCCATAGACCACCAAAACGATATCCATACAATCAAAAAACCACACACCGACACCAATTGTAAACCCCTCCCACCCAAACCCAATGAACACGAAAGAACACACCCCAAAGAAATGTTTAAACTGCAGCAAAAACCTATATTATATCTACCCAATGAATCGATACACACACCAAACCCACACTTGTTGCAGTAAACATAACGCCAAATGATACCAAGCTTCTCAGCACCCACCCACCCAACCAATTAGTGAATCATGAATGGGAAAAAAACCATTTTTCCAAATTACAGAAAATCCTCTACCTTTATTTTTTATTCATAGAAAAGCATTTGTTTTTATTTCAGCTACAACCTGAATCGGTGATGATATCATCGATTTGAAGATTATTCCATTTCTTGCCTTCCAGATAAACCATAAAGTGATCATAATTATGGCATGAGTGATTTTCTTTTGTAATGGGGATTGTAAATAAGCATGTGATATGGATAAAAGCTGATCCAGATTGTTAATCTCAGAGACCTTTAATTCACACCAAATCTCCAATAAAGCCCAAATTTCTTTTACACAGCAACACTGCAAAAATAAATGGGTACATATTTCCTCCGCACTGTCACAGAGAGCACAAAGTGTGGAAGGTACAACTATCCCACGTTTAGCCATCTCAACCTTGTAAGGTAAGCGATTGAGCGCCACACGCCAACAAAAAAAAATAATTTTTATAGGGACCATGTTGTTCCAGAAATGCTTGTATGGTAAGTCCTCACATGAATATGATTCCCAGAGCTGCCGAAGGCAACATACGGAGAATGAACCTGAGTTAACATGATAGCTTAATTTTCTTCATATCCGATTTTGGTGATCTCTTCCAATCCCACGTCCATTCAATCGTGTCACCAAATTTTATATACCTATCAGAAATTGTACAATGCTTTCTTGATTCCGAGAAGATATCTTTGAAGACGCCACTCCCTGGCTAATCCTCGAACCAAAAAGACATCATGTTGCCCCGACCCAATTCTTTTTTGAGCAACTCATGGAAGTGAATATTACCCACATCAAAGTCTTTGGTAATACTTATGATGTTTTTCCAAACACCAGTGAATTCCAATCAAGAAGAATTTCCAAACCCGCTCAGATTTATGCAGTGCCATAATTAACTTAGCCCATAGTGATGTTGGGTCATCTTTTAATCTCCAAAGCCAGTTGCTAAGAAGGGATAGATTAGCTCCCGTGAGGCTGATGACACCTAGACCTACTTTAGACTTTGGAGTGAGAACTTTAGCCCAACTAATCCAACAAATTTTCGATTTTGGGGAGCCAGCACCCCATAAAAACCTTCTTCCGATTCCTTCTAATTCTTCAATGATCTTGAGAGAGACTTTAAATATGGAAAAATAAAAGATTGGAAGACTTCCAAGCACCGATTTTATGAGGGTGATCCGACCTCCAAAAGATAAAGTTTTGGCTTTCCATGATGAGAGAAGGGATTGGAATCTATGAACCACGGCTTCTAGTGTTTTATAAGAGACATATTCGTCCCCACTGGTAACCCAAGATAAGTAATAGTTTTTATCTTTAAAAAAAACGAGAAAATAACAAAAACACACAAAAATTATTAATCAATCAACGATGTTATTAACTTTAGAAAACAAACATTTTTTTCTTAAATCAGGATAAAATGTTTTTTACACAAGTTGGCCTTTTGTTAAATAAGAGAAAGACATATGAAATATATTGTTAGAATTTAGAAGTACTCCCCATGTTCTCGTGGTTGGTTTCCAAAAGTCCATTTTGAAATTTCAACATCTTCATACCATGAATTTCCTGGTTATGTGCATTCCTGTCATAAATTGTAGAGTAAATTACAAATATCCTCCATTATTTATGGTGAATTAACAATTTAGTCTTCGGACTTCTGAACATGCATTAAATGATAACCATTAATACAGTTCTTTTGACTTCTGAACTTTAAATGACAACCATTAATACAGTTCTTTGACTTCTGAACTTTTAGAGGTACTTGTAATTTTGCGTAGTTAAGCTTTGATGCGGTTTTATATCATTGAAGTTCTCCTGTATCGTGCCTAATTGTCTACGGTTTGATTTTTACATTTTTTATTGTTTGTTCGTAAATTACTACGTTATGTCCAAGGGAGAGGGGGTGTTCACGTAGTGAAAACCTAATTCACTCAGCGTCATGCGGGTCGCGTAATATTAATAAAAAAAAAAACAACTAAACAATTTTATATTTGTATCATATATATCTGAAGTAGGATATTTAATAAGAGAAAACGTAGCATTACATATAATTAAACCAACAAGAGAAATGATTGTACCATTTCATAACTATGTCAATGATACACAATATAACAAATCCACTAAATTCGATCTGCGATTATTCTTTAGCAAATGAGAAATTTTACCAAGATGATTAAAACCAATAACTATAAGAAATCAAACTAAATCTCTTCAGGAAAGTAAGATTTGACGAGCTGAGGGCATCCAGCCAATGCTGTATCCTTCAAGAAACCCATCGCATTAGCATAACGAGCACCGTAGTTCATGCCATTGTTGCTGGTAAGGATGACTGTAGCACGGTGACGACCGATGTTTGGCTTACCACACCCAGGGTCTGGACTCCCCACAAGGGTGCACTCGCATTTCTGATCACCATGATCAGTTGCCACTTCAATATGGTAAGTTCCTGTAGCATCAGTTACTGCCTCCATGGTGTACCTCAGGTTCATCGAGTTCCTATCTCTGCACTCTACTCTAACCTTCGCACCTGCATATGATAAAAAAAAAAAAAAAAAAAAAAAACATTTCATTGAGTAATTGTTATAGTTTAGATGTTATGAAGAATTTCAAACCGAAGAAGAAGTTTTTATGTTTAACTCGCAAGAAATGTGAATTCCAAGAGGTTTTTAGTTTTAATTTGGAACAGAAGTGAAAACCCAGATGATGGAACGAAAGAAAGAGATGGAGATATACGTACCAGCTAAGTATTTGGTGGCGGAGGTTTCGAATCCGCAACGACAGGTGTCACAGTAGACACGGCCTTTAAGGCTGAACGTATTACCGGTGGCTATGGCGGTGGAAAGCACTGAGAGGAGACAAAAAGCGAAGAGAGCTAATAGTTTAGCCATTTTTGATGGGTTGAAGAGAGGATGAAAGGAGAGGAAGTATGGGTGATGGTTTAGAGTTGGAGTTGGTGGGAATAAATAGTAAATAGTGCATGGATGTTTGCATAGGAAGGAGAAATGAAAGTGAGATCTAATCACGTGCTCATGTGTGATCGACATGGTATTAAATGAAAGCGACTCATGCGGCACTTGCTTCATTAATAGATAATTTTGAAACTTGTTAATAGTTTTGTTTTTTTTTTTTTTTTTCAAAAATAATAGCTTATATTTATGAATAGGTATTTTTTTTAATCAAAATTGTTATCATCATTAGTTAACTTATCATTGAATTAAATGCAACAAAATAATAAAATTAAATGAAACAAAAAGATATGATTATTATTTCATTTAAATTTAAATTAATTAATGTTTTTGTTTAAGTGGAAGCACATCAACACCGTGGTAATGGCTGGAACACCGCTCCTGTCTTACATTATGAGATGTGTTGTAACGAGTACGGAAGTGAACACCTAATCAAATCATCTCTCTCTCACACACACACAACACAACACAAAGTTATAACATGAAAACACCACATCACTTTATTTATAACATGTTAGAATCTGAGGTGACTTATTTGGCTTCATAACACGACACCGTTCACCACACTCAATGGTCTAAAACAACATAAAAAAAGTCCACTAATTAAATTTAACCGGTTTCATCAGAGTTAGAATTTTTGTTTTCAAAGTGTTGTATCCATATCATGCTTATGGGTATTTAAATTTACTTGTCTAAAATTTATATACTCGAAATAAAAAGTCAGTTCTCCTTAAGTTGGAAATAATAATTAGTATTATTTTAAAACCGGAGTGGCATCACAAATCTAGTCGAACTTTTGTTGCACACATCGTACTCTAAAGGCAGCATCTAATTAAGCATCATGTGCGCAAACGGACTTAATGGAAAAGCAAATGTAGGCCATTGAAGCCGGATCTAAGTGCGAACTCATATTTCTGTCCATAATCAAAGAGATTATTATTAAATGCACATTTGTAAATCCCATTTGGGATATATATATATATATATATATATATATATATATATATATATATATATATATATTATATATATATATATATATATATATATATATATATTATATATATATATATATATAGTAATTGTAATTGTCAAATGTTCTTATAATTCAACTTTTAACTTTATTTACTTTCAAGATTTTTATAAATTTCATATTTATCTTTGTTTTATATAATTTTATTTTCATCTATAATATATATATATATATATATATATATATATATATATATATATATATATATATATATATAAAACTAAGTAAGTGTTCGGAAAAAAAAGATGTGACATAATAAGAATATAATAATGAAATTTTAAAAATCTTCAAGGTAAATCAAGTTATGGGTTGAAGTTTAATAACATTATAATGAACATATCAAACAAAACGACGAATTATGGTAGATTTGAGTACCTAAACTTATATATCCTTAAGGGTATATTCATTTTTCCGTATATATATATATATATATATATATATATATATATATATATATATATATATATATATATATTCTAATTAATTATTGTGTGGATGTACGGATGATTGTCGACCAATCATTTCAAAAACCTGGATAGGGGTAAAATAGTAATTTTAACTGTTAATTAATTTTGGTAATTAAATAATTTATGGATTAATCCTTTAACTTAGGCAAATTAATGTTTTCATGAAGCGGATATAGCAAGACGTTCAGCCTCAAATCTTTCAATAATCTTTTCCCTATCGTTGAAGATGATGGCGTTGAAAAAGAGAGGAGGCTGTAAGAGTTGGGATACTCTGTCGGTGCCATCGACATTGCTACTCCTCGATTCTCCGATCTACTTTAATATCCATTAATTTAAGATATCAGTTGCATCCTATAACAAACAACATCATCTTCTTCAAATATAGCGCACATGTCTGTTTTCTACACTTTTACCCATCTCAATCTCTTACCGACGATCAATCATAATCCACCCACGTTCGAAGATGACAAGATTGTCGGAGGGAACGAATTCAAAATCGAAAATCAGAATAGGGAACCAACCCTCCAGGCTAGTTCAATCACCGTGCATTCGAAGATGACACGATCGTCGGAGGGAACGACTTCAAAATCGAAATCAGCATCGAGAACCAACCCTCCAAGGCTCGTTCAATCGTGTTTGAATGTTTTTTTAATCATGAAGTTATGTCTAGACCTCTCGATCGAATTTGTGAAGGTGTTACCAATCTCAATCATGTTTGTTTCATTATTTTTGTTGTATTTAAAAGCTTTACTTTGATTTTCTCTAAAGTATTTATGTTTTTGAATTTTGTTTACGATCACAGAGAGAATGAAAAGCCTTTCCTTCCTTCACTCATTCCTTCCCCCTCTATCTCATATATATATATATATATATATATATATATATATATATATATATATATATATATATATATCTCTTTCACTTTAGGAGTTGTTTATCAACATGAAATTTTGTGGGTATTTATTTTTGCTTCTTCCCATATACTCTATTCTATAATTTTAGTTCCTAGAAAGACAAATTGAAAGCTAGGGATTTTAGTTTAATTTTTAATTTTTTTAAATTTAAAATCCTTTACAGGCTTTGAAAAAACGAGGCTTAAGAGGAAAGCATGTCATATAAGGCACCCCATGCCTTCCCCATGTTTTGTTTTGTAATTTATTTTCATTTATTGGTTTGATTTTTTTTCATCTGCAAGTGTGAAATTTATGTATACCAATGTTGAAGTTGAGCTTTCTCCATTTCCATTTGGTTCCCAGATTCATAGGTATGTTGAAATTGTGTAGTGTCCAAGTTGTAACATCCATAAAAATCATGATAAATTTAAACTTTTTTCAAAACCATCCAATTTCACTATTTGTTTGCAAACATAGTTTCAAAAGTATTTCATCATCAGAGTTCTCAAAATCATAAGTCCAAAACATGAGGATGTGTACGGTCATGCCTTCTCCTTCCCGCAGTCCTTTGAAGTACCAGAAATATAACCCAAAACTGTAAGCTCAAAGCTTAGTGATATTCCCGCAAAATACCAACACATAACCAAATAACACACACACACACACACACACACACACACACATATATATATATATATATATATATATATATATATCAAAGTTGTAAAAATCGCTTGGCAGTACCTCGGCGGTCGACTGGGGTCAAGCGATTAATCGGTCTAGGCGGGGACCCTTAATTGTAAAAAAAAAAACTTAAATATTACCTATATCATATGATTATCTCTAAACAAAATACTAACAAAACATGTAAATATCCATAAACGTTTACATATTCAAGTCATCAAACAATACATGTCCAAAGTAAGTAAATATTCATAAACGCTTAGATATTCAGGTCATAAAACATCATACAAAGTCCAAAATAAGTTTTATAAGATCAAACTTTTGATTGTTCACAGGCTTCTACTCTTTATCTCCGCATTCTTCCATGATGTGAACTCCATCCGATTCATAATCAACTTCTTCAAATACTTCCTCCTCACTCTCTGACGCAAAATCTTCATCTAAAAGTTATCTTGTTGTTGAACTTTGTCCGAGTTCATCGGTTCCTTGACCGTCACCAACTATGCCAACTCCATCTTCATCACAATCATCACAATCATCACAATCAACAATCCATTCTTGAGCCGTCTGACTATCATTAGCTAATAGCACTTCCATATTCCTTTCTTTTCTCTTTTTATTTTTTCCATCAAATTAGCATTCAATTGGACATAAACAAGATTGTTCATTTTACTTACATCCAATCTATTTCTTTTCTTTGTGTCAATCTACAGTCGTAAAAAAAATAAATGGTAAAAAATATACAATATTATGATATAAAATTATAATTTAAATAAATTGTTGAAATTTGAAGTTTGACTTCTAACCCCTTCAAAGGTGCTCCAATTCCTTTCACATCCAGATGAACTACTAGTTAAAGAAAGAATTATTATTGCAATCTTTGTAATGAGGAGTTGCTCCACCAAATGTACCCCACCAAGTTGCTATGATTTTTAAACATAAATCACATTATTAGATTCATAAATGGATAAATATGAATTTTTATAAAATAATTAAATAAAAGTAAAATGCTTTACCCGGATCACAGTCACCATCATTAACTTCACATGCTTTAACTGCAAGTTCCCGACCAAATGTATCCATTTTTTCTTGTACTTTGGCAACTCAATAGTCATGACTTGCTTTTGTATCTCTAAATCTCCAGCAAATAATGTATCAAAAAACTCAAGAACCGCATCCATTACTTCGGGATCATGTTGGAGTTGCGGATCCTTATAATGATAATAAGGATTTAGAAGATAAGCCGTCAAATGCAATTTTGAATCAAGTCTACCTTTCATTTTCTTTGATATAATATTTATGATAGGCTCATATGCTTTTTTGTTACCGTCTAAAGCATCAATGATTTCTTTTTTTGCTTTTTTAATCTCATCATAAACAAAACCCATCGAGGGCTTCCAATCCGCAGCAACCATACGAAGAACTTTCAACAAAGGGGAAAACACTTTTAAGCAAAGTGCCAAACCCGCCCAAAATGTGGAACCTATCATCAATATATGACTAGATCTCCCTTTAACTGCATTTGAAAATTTATATTCCTCCCATTCGTTGCTAGAGAACATATACCTTAGTTGCCCTTTTTTTCCAGACAAACTTTGTAATGTTAGATAGGCGGAAACAAATCTCGTGACACCCGGTAGGATGATATCCCTTTTGTTAGTGATTTTTCTCATCATAGCTAATGTTTTGTGGTGGGAATAAATGAAGATGGTTAGTTGCTTTGCTTGATCTAAGACTTTCTTGAACCTTGGAAGCCCACCAATACCTTAAAAAAATAATCACGATTAAAAACACAAATAGAATTATACAACACAATAAAGAAAATTACAAATACCTTCAACATAAGGTTAATGGTATGTGTCACACATGATGTCCAGAAAATCTTTGGTATTTTCTCTTTT